TGCGTTAATCAACATGATACCTGCCAGCCCAAGACTTATAACTCTTTAAATGTTGAAATTTTTAACCTGCTAATTTGATACCAATTCTTCTAAAGAAGCTAAGACCCTTTAATGACTTTAACACCACATAGATCCATCCTGTTAACTTAAAATGGAATTCTTGAAATCACAGGAACGATCTGCTTACTAACAAAGACTGACCTGGAACTTACTCTCCCAACCATGCCTCACTACTGTCGGGCCCACTGTTGGGCTAGTCACCGTCATGGCACCAGCAGGTCATGTCTACTGAGAGTTTACCACATGCCTTGTCCTATTTTACATGCAGTATCTACTTAATGCATGTCACAACCTGCTTATAAATGATCCACTTTACAGATCAGAAACTGAAGCAAAGAGAGGCTATGGTCACACACTAGTGAGTCACAGAGCGAGGACTCAACTCTAGGCTAACTTCCAAGCTCTGAGATTAAACCCCCCTACTGAACTAGAACACTGGTGGGTCCATTACCAGCACTTGCTCGAACGCTGTCTGTGTACCTACTGCAACTTAAAGCATCATGCTAGACCAGTGATGCACAAATTTTACTCTACCAAAGAATCGCTCGGGCAGCCTGTTAAAACGCAGACTGCTAGGCTCCACCAGAGAGTCACCACGTAAGTCTAGACTGGCATTCAGGTTGCCTTTTTAACCACAAGTGCAGCCAATTCTGATTTGTGTGGTCTATGAACTATATCCTCTGATAGGCCCTGGACTAAATGTCCTAGAGACTCCAGGGCATTTGAGCCTCTTGTCCTCTGAGCATTTACAATCAAGAGAGATTAAGAACAGAGGTGTGTGAGGCCAGCAGATTACGTACTGATTAAGGTGCTGGGTTCTTGCATGGTTGATCGTGGTTTGAGTCCTGGACCCAAAGGCTTGAAACTCAACAAGAGGTGTGTGCATGTAGGCCCAAAATCCCAACAGGAGAGTGGAAGAGAAGGAACTGTGGTGTGGCCATTCCTCCTGGGGGGTGATTTCTCACTTTCTCTCTCTGTCTCTCTGGTGAGCGCATGCACCCTACAGTAAAAATCTCTTTAAAAGTAAAAAGCAAAACCAAGGTGCACGAGCAATACAAAGCAATACAGGAAAAGCGGTACAGACAATATAAGCTAGAAAGACTTCAAGGAAGAAGGGTCATCTGAGATGTGACGAGGGCAAGTGAGATTTGACGAAAAAAGGGAACGCATTTTGTGCAGAAACTTTCAGGATACCGTCGCACGCAAAGGAAGGCATGATGAGTAGAGACCTCGGCGAGAAGAGGCTCTAGGGTTAGAAACTGAATGATAACGTCAGGAAGAAGAGAAGGGCTCTAGAAAGCCCTGAAAGTCAACCTAGACAGTCCAGGCTTTATTCAGGGCTGGCACTGGGAAGCAGTTAAGGGCTTTTGAGGCGAAAAATAAAATAACAACCATGATATTCTCCCGAAGAGCACTCTGAAGAGCTGTGATGAAGTGGTGCCAGAACTACAGACAATGGGACCAGTTACGCCACTGCCATGTGTAACCCCTAAGAAATAAAAGTCAGAACGAGGTGGTCCACGCCAGGGAGCAATGGTGACTCTTACCGACGGCATGTAGGCATGGGCAGCACCACTGCTGACGGACTTCCTCGCCCTGTGAGTTCAGACTACGTGACTTCAGTTGCATGGTACTTTCTACAGCTTTTAAAAAATAATGTTGATTGGAGGGAGCAGGAGATGACGTAATGGTTACATCGCTGGACTCCCATGTAGTCGATCATGGTTCAAGTCCTGGACCTGGTAGCTTAAAATTCACGCCGCGTGCGTGGGCGTGCATGTCCAAAATCCCAAGACAAGAATGGAGAAGGGATTATGGTGTGACCATCCTCCCTAGGGGGTGATTTCTTGCTTTCTCTCTGTCTATCTCTAGCACGCTCTTTCTTTCTCCAGCAAGTGCACATGCCCTGTAGCAAAAAAAGTCTCTAAAAATAAATAACTAAATAAAATAATGTTGATTAAGCCCAAAATATATGAAGAGTTCACTTATTTAAAACACAGACCCGGACTACAAGGTCAGTAAAAAGGCCTCTGAGCAATCAAAGTACAAATAGAGTTCACACAATAAAATAAAAAATATATACAGACACACACAAATACAAAACATAACTCAGAGACACACAACCTCATTTCCAGAAAACATAAGTATCCGATTTCCAAAGGCACAGAAATTAGAAGAAAAGCACCTGCCATGAGAGGGGCATATTTTAAGAGTTTGAAGGTGAAGAAAAGAAACAAAAACATTTTCAAAAGTACACAAAATCAAGGAAGTTCTCCATAACTGTTTATTGACAAGTACACATGATTCCCAGGAAAAATGAAATTAATGAGAATCTTCCTAATGTTCCAAATGCCTACTGCAAAAGAAACCCTTCTTTAAAGCTAAATGTTTTTAAGCAAATCTTTACCTGGCTAAAAGAGAGAAAGTATTCAAGGATGGCTAATACATACCAATGTAACCCCTCTCATCAGTAACTAAGATGCAGTTAATAAAAAAAAAGCAAGAAAGATGTGTAACATGGAGAGTCTGGAGGTGACAGAGTTCTTCAGTAAGATGTCCAGTCAAGACCAGGATCCACTGATGAGTTTAACTGGGGCAATTCCTTCCTGATGGCCGTGCCTTTGACTTCCATGTTCCAAACAGTAAGAACTCACTCTCAACCAAAAATAACACTGTTAAACTGATCTTAAATCATACCCTATAAACTTACCTACTGATACATCATCTGGCACTCGACGCCGACCAGCAAGAGGTGGACTTTTCCAACACGGCGGCACAGGAAGGGCTCTCCCTTTGTTCACCCGCACTCATTAATGTTTATTACAAGTGAATGCTGTTTTTCTAAGCACCTCAACTATTTTATAAAGAGATGAAGACATCTCTATGATTAAGACAGTGACTAATTCAAAGTTACATGTAAAGTTTATGATTAAGTTCCAAATACATACTAAAGCCATGAAGCTTCTTTAATCATACAGCAAAGAGTATACAATATAACAATTACTGGAGTAAGAAGAGTTTGAGATGTTTTTAAACAGCAGAAAAACAAGTCAGTGTACCTTTAAGACACTGAAACAACACAATAAAATTCCCTTAACTATGCTGTTGTAATGATAAAAGAATTAGATTAAATTAAACTAAAAAGTCTCTCATATTTCTCAGACACAGCAAAGAGCTGAGAAAATCAAAACACACATATAGGGACGAGCAGTTAGTATAATGGCTATGTCGCTGGACTCCCATGTAGTCCAATACGGTTTGAGTCCTGGACCCAGTGGCTTAAACTCACGCCGGGTGTGTGTGCGTTTGTGCCCAAGATCCCGAGAGGAGAATGGAGAAGAAGGGATTGCAGCATGGCCATCTCCCCCCTGGGGGGGTGATTTCTCACTTTCTGTCTCTCCGTCTCTCTGGCGTCTCTCTGGCGAGCACATGTGTCTTATAGCAAAAACCTCTCCAAAAAAAAAAAAGAAAACAAAAAGAAAATTAAAACAAACATATACACACAAAATGTTGTCAATCAAGTGATCAGACAATGCAAAGGTATCAAAGACTACACTATTTCAGAAAGCACAGGTCAAATATGCTATGCTATAATTGGCTGAACAACTGAAGCAGTCACTGGCACCTAGCTGTCCTTCCCTGCCTTTAACTTTCCTCCCTAAATTTGTATTTTTTAGAATCGTTCTAACTCTCCAGAAGCTTACAACAGGGGACCCTGACCAAAGCCAAAACATATTTGGGAAGCAGTGTTTTCCAAACAGCAAGTTGTGACCCATCAAGTCAGTGGATTTCAGGCAGCACTTTTCAAAGACTGAAATAGAACAGAAATGATCAGGGCGCAGCACGTGGAAGAAGGGTCAATACTGCTTTGGGAAACGTCTCAACCGTATGTAGGAACGCATTAACCCTCAAAGACAGGCGTACTTTAACTGTGGGGCACACATCTGTCTACAGTTTGAAAGGTACTGCCAGAGACCTAGGGCCGGGGCTCAGTCCGACGGTACCCTTTTCCGTAGTCCTCTGTATCTCCCCACAGTCTCTGCCCACAGGCCGCGCGGAAGCCCACTTGCCCTCCATGGCAGCAGTGCAAACGGGCCCAGTGCCAGCCAAGCCTGGGCGAGGGCCTCACCACACTGAGCCTCCCCAAACGCCCGGGGCGGTGCCTACAAAGCTCTCGGTAACCTAGCAACCCCGCAAGTAGCGCTCCTCCTTCCTCCCCCGGCTAGAAACAGTTCAACTCCTCCAACCAACTTTCCTCGACTGCAACTTTTGGAATGACCGTGTCCCAAGAGCCAGCCTCCGCGTTCACCAACACCCAGACTGCCTTCCTAGAACACCTGGAGTTCAGGGCGCCCTGTCCTCAACAGGGAGGCTCCACGTAGGTCCTCACTGCCCGCTAGAGCCCAGGCAGGGCACCCTCCTGCGGCCCCCGTCTCAACCCAAGGCCCTGGTTCTCTGCACCTGCCAACTCTGGCACGTCCGATCGCTCGGCGCTGCTGGGTAAAGCGCACCTCCTCCTAGCTGCGCCCGGAGGGGGCAGGCCCAGCGCCCCAGGAGCCCGGGAAGGCGCCCCCTCCCCCCACCTGCACTCGCAGAAGCCACGTCCCCGTGTCTGTCTGTCCTTGAAGTCTCC